ACTGTTTCACTCTACTGATTATATTAATAAACTATTTACTCCTAAAACGAATCAACTACTAATCTACTACAGCACCTAAAAGACGCACTTCAACACCCTTAGCAATCTAAAAACTGTGAACAAACTAGCAGCATGGATGCATAAAGACTTAGTACGGAACATACAGGATTAGTTTACCCTTAGAAATAGGACCTGTCCCTCATTGTAACCTTCAAACGCTTGCTATATAAACTGTTTTATCCCAAAGACTATCCCTACCAGAACCCATCATTTATTTCTAAAACGCATCAGTCATTAGAACACTAAAACGCTCAGACTCATTAATACACATCATGACACTAAATAAACTCTAAGACTTCGCATATATTCGTGAAAAGACAACTAAAATAGAGGTAAATTTTTACTAATGTATAATATACAATTGACATAAACATTTATATATATACATTAATATCCTTTTCATGTTCACATACTTTCTCTTTTTGGTACTCTGCTACTCCTATTCATCTTCTGGCTGAGGTCGAACAACCCTGAATCTGAACCGAAATGAGGATTAATTCCAAACCATCTATCTCATAACCACTCAAATTCCATGAACGATCCAATTCTACCATTTGAAGACGCTGGCGAACATGCTGTAAATGAGTACTCATGATCTGAAATGAAGAAGCAACTGGTTTTCAAACAGTTTTCAACATTTTTCTGAACTTACGAATACAGTCCGCCATGCAGACACAAATGGAGCAAATGGAGGATTCTGGAATCGACCTCGGCACCATTTGATGCAGTAAAACAACTTCGCAAGACCTCATCTAGTTTTCGCATCCACGATCAAATTTCTTTCCTGTTATAAAACTACGATAAGACTGCTGAAAGAATGGAATAAATATATCACTGATCTCAACATAATACATCAATAAACTTTCAGGCAAGGGTGCTGTTCACAACAAAGTTCTATAGGAGAATTGACTTCAACCTTTTTTTTCCCGGACATCCGTATTACATTCATCTGATATCTGGGTTTTTTTAATGCGAAGACAATATTTCTATATCTCTTTATGTGCTACACAAACAGACTTTATAGCAGACTGTTCCGACTGACTCTCATGTCAGAGAGAACAACCAAACTATAAATCCATCTTACATCAAATTATGTGTAATTTATATGCTAACTTATCCATGCCTGTACAATTGGTATGTTCCTGCATAAACAGGAAGAAATATATTATTATTATTATGTGTTACAGACCCATTAACCTAAGTTCTGTTATTTCAAGGGTTCTGGAAATGATCGTGAAAAGTGCCATTTTTGACTTCCTCTCTCAAGAGAAACTTATCACTCCTTATCAACATGGTTTCATGAAGTCACGCTCTTGCACGACATGCCACTCACAGTTTTTCGACCACATGTCAGAACTTAAAGATTCCAGCGTGATCACAGTTATCGTATACTTAGATCTTAGTAAAGCCTTTGACACTGTAAGCCACCGACTGTCAATATCAAAAGTCCAGTCATACGGGATCCAAGGTTCATTGTTAAGCTGGCTCAGTTCGTTTCTAGGCAACCGGATGCAAATGGTCAGGTTAGGTTCCCACACATCCAACCCCGTTCGGATAACAAGTGGAGTTATACAAGGTAGTGTCCTAGGTCCACTGCTATTCCTGTTATATTTCAATGACATTTGCGACGTTATTAAACATGGCAGACCTTTCCTATTTGCCGATGACATCAAAAGAGCGTATCACTCACTCAGAAATGAATTGTCATGTGTATTTAGTAGGATTCAAGATGATATTGATAGCGTCCAATAATGGTGTAACACATGGAAAATGAAGTTTAACGTTGAAAAGTGTGGTGTGCTATGCTCCAAAAGCATTTCATCTGAACTTTCCATCTCCCTACACAACAAACATATTCCTCGTCTGCCGCTTACAACAGACTTGGGTCTGAAATACACTCCAGAATTTAGCCTGACTGAATACGTTAAACTACAAGTATCAAAGGTCAAAAGGCTCTTTGGATTTTTATTCCGAAACTTTAAGACCAGTGAATCCAAAATTATGCTGTGCAAGTTGTGCGTAAGGCCCTTACTTGAATTTTGCCCCCCTATCATGGACAGTGTCTCCGTAAAAGACAGATGCAAAATAGAAAGTCTACAAAGGGCGTTTACTAAACGTCTAGTAGGTGAAAATCTTTGCATTTCTTACTATGACAGATGTAATCTATTCGACTTGGAACCCTTATGGGTTAGACGACTGAAGTTCAACCTAGAAATTACATTTAGGATTGCTAAAGGGCTTATATATTTTCCCCACAATGACTTTACTTTCAGTTCACCTAAGAAATATAACCTGAGAAATAAATCTTCTTCTTTTAAAGTTCCCCGCTGTCATACAAAATACAGATCAAACTATTACACTGTGAGATACCGTTGTATTTGGAACCGTCTTCCAACTGAAATTAGAGACAGTCCTACCCCAAAAACTTTCTCATCTTTGCTGAACAAATATTTCATTGACAACGGGTTAGAAGGGGTATGTGACAAACTAAAAATTAGAGATCTAATACGGCACTCCTCTGATCCTCACTGTTAGCTCCTGAAATCTGTAAACCCTATGTTTGACACCACTTTCACTATGATTGCTTTCACAACCCTAGACACCCATTCTTAATCAGCCTTAAATTTAAAATTTTTTTTTATTTCCTTCAAATATTTTTGCATATATCCCTGATAATATTGTATTATGAGTATTTCAGTATGCTAAGGTTCACTCTCAAGTTCCAGATGCAAATCAAATGAAGACGACTGGTAGTAAAATATCTCCAGAGCCTGCCTAGTGCTATACGTCTAGCTCTACGCCAATTAAGGCCAAAATGGTAGTTGTCTAAATATTCAAATAAACGGTGATTTTTCAATAGTAGTGACTCTTATCCTATTATTCTATAACTATAATCATCTATGTTCAACTTTTCTTGAACTACATATTATAACTTACCACTGCTTATTTGCTCAATGCTGCACGATTATTCCCTGATTTTCTAAACTAAATTTGTTTATATCTAAAATGAATCTTATCTTACTATTCTATTACTATAATCCTGTATGTTCAAGTTTTCTAGAACAACATATTATAGCTTACCACTGCTTATTTGCTCAATGCTGCACGATTATTCCCTGATTTTCTAAACTACATTTGCTTATATCTAAGATGAAGTCTCAGATAGCCTTTCTTTGTTACACTTGTCGTCTTCAAAATGCTGTAAAAGATGAAACATACATGATGTTCTTCTGAAAGTAGTCATTCATACCATAAGTTTGAGTAAGTCGACGAATAAATAGTTGGACAAACAAAAAGTTTGTGGCATTTTGCAACAGAAATTTTAAAAAAATAAATAAATAATTTAAAAAAAAATGAAGCATTCCGACAGGGCCTTGCACAAAAAAGGTGGGAGGGTGGTGACTGCTAGTCAGCGGATATGATGGTGGGGACATATGTGAACCACCCTTATCTGTGGGACAGCACTCTATTGCTATGGCTCCTGAGTTCGGATGGCTTCTGCAAAATGAGAATAAATAAAAACTAAAAAAAATAAAATAATGAAAAAAGAAATAGAAGTTGAAAATTGTCTAGAGCCGAAGTTTAGACGCAAACTATCGAATGAAAGTAAATGGTATGAGTCCGCTGCTTCAGAAGGACACCGAACTGTATACTTCAGAAAAACATATATTACTAGGCCCTCGCTTTTCTTTTACATAGCTCACCCACTCCGACTTTTGTGTTTAACTCCTTTTAAACCTCGTAAGTAGGTGAAATTATCACCTGTCTTTCACTTTAAACTAATTGTTTGCAGAAAAGACTGCAAAATATCGGGAAAATAATATTTCCTGAAAAAAAACAATAAAAACCGATGAACCCCATGCCTGTTATATATTTTGAATTATTAACACCTTCTAAATACTCCTGCACCTGTCCGCTGGTTTTCTTGTGTCTTCTTCTCTTTTCAAACATACTGCTTTCAACGAAGGTACAGCGCTGCAATTCTCTACTTATTCGTGATATTGCTAGCTCATCTGGTGAATAACGGGATCATCAGTATTATAAAATCTGCTGATAAGTTAAGAGTTGGTCTCATAAACAACTGGAAATGTCACAAATATGATGTACTTACAGGTAAATTTAAAGTTTAGTAGACTTTAAAACTCTTTCTGAATGATTTACTGATAATTATTGTTTGTTCCGCATCTCTTATGTAATACGTCAGCACCTGTACAGAAATGCCACTTACCTTCCGCAACTAACGCAATCATTTATGATTCCCGCGTGAAATTGACATGTATTTTTTTTCAATCACAGTTTAGATTTGACGCTATATCTATTTCCTTATTTGTACACTTCATTTTAAATGTTTCTCTCACATTTACCAGTATTCAACTTATTTCTAAATTAACAAATCATATCATATATTCTATAAGTTTTCATAAATGTACATATGTTCATGCCTGTAAAAATGGCTGGTTTCTGTTACAGAAATAAAATTATTATTATTATTATATTTCACTCACTTAATCTATTACACTTTATTGATTTACCTTGGCACTTTTACTTTTCTAAAACAGCTTTCAATCCCTTGTAAACGTTGTACTTGCCTCAATATTGGTTGGTTATCGTATGCCGACAACCACGGGATGAAAACGAAACGAAGTAGATTTTCCCGCTCAACCTGGAGGACAATTGTACAATTCAATAACTATACAACCTAGTTCAGACAATGAGTGTATTTATATATATATCAAATATTTAACTGTTGAAACATTCTTAACTTGTAGACAATCTACGATTTGATATTATATCATACTTGATCGTGCCTGTAAAAATGGCATGCATTTTCATGTAAATTTATATGTTTATATGAAAATAAAATTATTGTTATTATTATTACTAGCCCTGAACAGAAGTTCTGACATAAGGGCGAGGCAAGATAGAACATGGGCTATCAGAAATATGGCTAGGGAGTCACCGGAACTGATGCCTTTCACCTCTATGGTGGTACACGGTGTTCCCGAGCTGGAAACCGGCACTGCTTGTGAAAAACACATGCATGACACACAGCAATGGAGATGGCTGTCATCTCAGATGGCCCCTGGCGCTTCTGGAGCCATCTCCATTTCCGACCACCTCGTCCCGCTCATCTAACACTGATTAACTTTCCAAAGCTGCTATGTCTCACATTCAACTCCCCGGAGGAGTTGTCCATAGCACTTCAACGGTGGTATGAGACCAAAGGAAAAATTGGAGGACACATCCGATGCTGTGAAAGCAGACCCCGAAATATAAGGAGGCAGCAAACTGAAGCTTTAATACGACCCAAAGCTTCGGTGACACTAGAGCGATGCAGCTCTGAGAATAACAGTCTGTGTCACCCAAGTGTCCGGCCTAAATCCATTGAAAAAAACTACAACGGGCCGGTTCTATCGGAATCGGCCAACTAGTTCCAACATCAAGTCCCCCGCCAGCAGACGGTTTCACGTCAACTACCCCACAACACTCTGAGGTTGTTAGACTCACTGTCAGTTGCCTATATAGCAATGTGAGGGGGCTGAGAGGAAAAGTAGGTGAACTCCGAAATCTCCAAGCACACCTTCAACTGAAAATAATCATTCTCACTGAAACGTGGCTAAACCCCACTATCGCCGACAATGAAATCAGTATAGGTGATATGGTACTGGTCAGAAGAGACAGGGATAATAAGGAAGGAGGGGAGTTGCTATATACTTTGATAGGCAACTTAAATGTGTGCGCGCAACGGACCCACCACTTATTGAACTCCCAGACTCCATATGGTGTCATTTCACCGTAGGCCACACCAAGCACTTACTGGGTGGCATCTACTGATCTCCCACCTGTGGGGCAGAGCACAATCAGCTACTGCTCAGCACTATCACAGGGATACGAGATTTGGGCGACGACCAAATCACCATAGCTGGAAATTTCAATGCTCCATCACTGAACCTCGGCTCCGGGTGTGCTAAGGGAAAATTTGGCCGAAACCTACTGCAAACTATTCAAAACACGGGACTGACTGAGAATGTTGGAGACGACACTAGGTGGGGCCCTAGTGGAAAGTCATCAAAACTAGATTATATTCTAACTAGTGACCAACTACTCGTCGAAAAGGTCCAGATCATGACTCCTCTGGGAAGCAGTGACCATGCAGTCATAGGTTTCGATCTTGCTCTCCGTGAGCGTTTGCAGTGGGATGTTACGCGACCATGTCTGTGCTACAGCAAGGCTGACTATGCTGAAATGCGGAGGCTCTTGTCCGACGCAGACTGGGCCTTAGCATGGGACGACCTATCTGTGGATGAACACTGGGAAGTGGTAAAAAAGATTATCCATATAGCAATCTCGGATACCGTCCCTTTAGTCACAACACAGCCCAAGAGTAAGACGTCATGGTTGAAGAGAGGCACGCAACGTATTCTGCAAGCAAAGCGGAAGGCTTGGTTTACGTGGCGTGTATCTAAGAGTCAGACCGACCATGATGCATACCTCGAACTCAGGAACCGGTGTAATGCAAGAGTCAGGAGGGACAGGAGGTCATTCCAGGCTAACCTTGCTAAAAAACTCCTATCAAACCCTAAAATCTTGTACCGATTCATGTCGGAAAGAAAACCGACAAACCAAGGGGCATGCGCCTTAGTAGGCCCAAACGGTCAATATCTCACTAGTCTGGAGATGGCTGAAACATTCAGTTCAGCCTTCGCTAAACAGCTATACAGCAATGTGGATATTACAGTTACGGACCAAAATGGTGGCACCACTATTTCAGAGGAGGAAGACCTAGCGACTACTCCCCAAATAAACCCCGCAATAGTACTAAGGAAGCTACAGCGACTCACACCTGTGAAATCCCCAGGTTGTGATGACATCAGGCCATCTGTTCTGAAACAGTGCGCCGAAGCTCTCTGTAGACCCTTGTGCGACTTGTTCTAACACTCAATGGATTCGGGGACACTGTCAAGGGAGTGGAAACGAGCCATCCTTTCTCCAGTCTTCAAGGGTGGGGACAGGCAAAACGCTACTAGCTATAGACCAGTAGCTCTACTCCCAGTGGTATCAAAAGTACTGGAAAGTATTATTGACGACCACATCAGGGAATATTTCGATAGGACTAATATACTACATGAAGCCCAACATGGTTTCAGAAAAGGCAGATCCTGCGTCACTAACCTACTGTCAGCTTGGGACGACTGGACATCATGCTGGGATATGAATGTACCAGTCCATGTGGTCTTCCTAGACTTTAAGAAGGCATTTGACACTGTTCACCATGACCCTCTCCTACATAAAATAAGCCAGACAGGCATAGGTGAGCCACTTCTGTCGTGGTTGAAGGACTACCTAGCAGACAGGCAATTTCGCACTAAGGTTAACCGAGTCCGATCATCTTGGCACAGATCGTCATCAGGAGTGTCGCAGGGTTCTATCCTAGGACCACTGATGTTTTTGATTTCCATCAATGATCTACCACGCCGTCTGAGCTGCCCGACTCTCCTATACGCTGACGACGTAAAATATGGAGGGCGATGAAGTGTCCGGAGGACTCAGGTAGGCTACAGGAAGACCTAAACCTTCTGGAAGACTGGGTGGTGGCCAGTGGCACGACTTTCAACTTGAAAAAGTGCAAAGTAGTGAAGTTGCGCACCTGTAGACTGCAGAATGCAAGTTACACCCTATGCAATGAAAGCTTGTCCTGCACAACGTCGGAACGCGACTTAGGCCTAGTTCTGGCGGAAGAAATGGACACAAGCGTAAATTACACAGGGGATGTAGCGAGGGCATTTGCAGTCATACACTTTACCCATAGACAGTTAGGTGCACTCACTCCTGAGCTCTTTCTAATGTTGTACAAAACATACGTCAGGCCACACCTTGAGGTGCATAATATTATTGCTCCCCCAATGCTGAGAAGAGACGCCAACCTCTTGGAAAGAGTCCAACAACGGGCAACAAAAGGAGTGGTTGGTCTCCGAAACAAACCATATGATGAAAGGCTGAAGAAATTAGGCCTGTTCACACTTAGCTACCGTCGGCTTAGGGGGGATTTGATTACTGCCTATAAAATAACGAATGACCAGAATCACCCAAACAAAGGTGTTCTGCCATTGAGTAGGTATAGGCTCCCACGCGGAAATCCCGGAAGGATAGCTCACCAGAGGGCAAGGACCCGGGTGCGCTCCCACTTCTTTTCACTGCGGGTTTGCCGTCCCTGGAATTCCTTGCCGGCAGATGTAGCTATGGCACCGTCTTTGGACGCCTTTAAGGGAAGGCTGGACAATCATGCAGCGATACAAGGACTGCATCCAAATGGCCTATCTCCTTAAAATCGCATATACCAATCAGGGGTAGATAATTAAACTCGTCGTTTTACTTCTTTACATTCTCTCCCGTCTTACTCTCCTGACAACTTATTAATATAATTATTATTATTATTACCGATATATATATTATTCTTCAAACTTAATGAGCTGACTGTTGTTACGTTTCCTATTTCCGTTTCTGTCTCTTAGTCTGAATAACTTCACTAATTATATCTATTATTATTATTACTATTATTATTATTACTATCCCTTTTCTCTTGTCGACGATACCGAAGGACAAACTGGCGAAAGGATCAACTCCAATCACAGTGGTAACAGTCTTAACATACCTCATACTACAAACCACATATAATTAATCCCAGCACTACTCCCTTTGGAGTCAACCAAAGCTACGACAGTCAAGTGGTGGGACAAGCTACGCAGAAGTTTACCGAAGATCAGGAACCCATACCTTACAATCAAGAAGCGAGCACAAAGAAATCAAATTGGTTTATACTAGCTCGTAAAAACGATATTCGATATTCGAACTAATGAGTCCCTCACCATTTTTCCTCTATTCCGCACAGGACAATAAAGCCACCAGTCAACTAATGTCAAACAGTCTGTTTCCTTATTATCAAATGTGCCCTCTTCAGACACCCAGGATACCCTAGTTTCCCTATGCCTATCTCCATGCGATCGTGAGCTGAGCGATAAACCATGGAAACTTTCTTCTTTTTCACAGAACATTAACGAAAACGATGAGGTCTTTACGCACCGAACACTCGAATCACCGGTCAGCCTATCATCACATTTTCATTTAACCTCAGCTGAATCACATCCTCATCTCCTTCATTTTGCCTCAGCTCTTACCATTGATCAAAGATCATTTACTCTTTTCCTCATAGATGCTCTTTCTATCTGAAGTAAAATTCCGTACCTTCACTCCTTGCTTTCAGTTTGTACGCGCTCACTACTGTTAGTTATCGAGACCTGGTAACCATCGGACTTCAGTAAGAGATTGTTGAAATCCCCAGGATATACACACTTTAGACACGGCAGAGAAGAAAGACGTGGTGGTTGTCTTACCTTTGTTAGTGATGAACTCCACGCTGTCGAACTCGATGATCTATATTGCTCACTGACAGATGCCGTGTGAGTTACACTGGATATGAGCTTAAATGCAAGGCTTTCTTTGGGATGTAGCGACCAAAACACGGTCATTTCCATCTTTAACCTAACAGCAGGTAGGTCAGGAAAACGCCGTCGCCGGACAGTAAAAGTCAGAGACTTTTCGAAGCCTAAGTGGAAAACAACGCTGTCTTTTATTAGTCACCAAAACTGGGATATCCTTTTCTCCTCGGCAGACATTGATACTGTCCTTGACAGTTTCTACTCCAATATATCAGTTTGCTTCAACGAACCTATCCCTCGGTATACATCCAAACCCAAATGTGTAAATCAACTATATATACCGAGTGCTACCAGGTACAAGCTAAGAAGACTCCGTAAAACCTATAATAAATCTATGAACTTCTTTTCGTTCACTAGCATCCTAAGTATAAATGATAATGTCAGATTAGATAATGCCAGTAAAATTTACAAAGAAGAACTTATCACCCTTAAAAGTAACTCCAAAATTAGCTCCTTTTGCAAACTCTTCCAAAAAAGACTGAAACAAAAACAATGCAACATTCCTTACATTCTTTATAATAATGTTTCTGTTAAGGATGATGCAGGCATAGCTGAACTCTTTAACAAACACTTTTCTGACTCATACACGCAAAATATTTCTGCATGCACAGAATTTGACTCTTTAACATTCAAAACACTGTCAAATATGTACTTGACCGTTGATGTTATAGGAAGTGCAATGCGTTCATTGAAACTCTCCAATACTTCTGGATCTGACTCAATTCCTTCATCCTCCTAAAAAATGGTGGCTCCGATCTCCCTCTTCTTTTGCTTAAAATATTCTCAACTTCCCTTATGAACGGAGTTTATCCTTCCAAATGGAAGCAGCTATATATTATCTCTGGATTTAAATCTGGCTCAAAATATGATATAAAGAATTACAGGCTGATCAATATAACATCTGTCTTGTCAAGGATACTTGAGAAGATAATCAGTACCACAATCGCTGACTTCTTATTGAATGAAAACCTCATAACACCTTCTCAGCATGGTTTCATAAAGTCGAGGTCATGTAAGACATGCCAACTAGAACTATTTGATTTTATAACTGGGCTTACAGACCAAACATTCGTTGCGCTAATTGTATATATTCATCTTAAGAAGGTATTCGATAAGATATGTCATATTTTACCACTGAAAATACTTTAGGCTTACGGTATATCTGGCAACCTATTACACTGGTGTAATTCATTTATGTGTGGTCGGTCCCAGTATGTTAAGATTAACGACACTATTTCCAGTACCACCCATATATCAAG